GAAGAAGGCAGCAGCACGCCGTTGCATTAGGTATTGTCTCCTACCCATGTCAAACAGGATGACGCAAAAACAACAACAACCTTGATTTATTTTGCCTCCCTTGGATACATATTTTCACATACACATGATAATATAGCCTCTTGGGTTCTATACCGAAGGGCAACTCTATTGCAGTTTCTTTTTTTCCCCCAAAGACTTGAATACTATATTCTTAGGTTATTTCGGTAAAGTCACGTAGGTAAAAAAAAAGTTAAATAAAAATAAAATAAAAATCACGACGTTTCGGAGGCAACACAAGCTTCCGTCGTGATTTTTATTTTATTTTACTTTTATTTTTATTTTACCTACGTGACTTTACCGAAAAAACCTAAGAATATGAATCCTTGCAGTCACGAAAGCTTCAAACTTGAATACTAATGCTATTTTATTTGCCACGTCAAGCCCACTGAGCTATTATCGCTTCATCAAGAGGTGATTTGGCCACACATAATAGCTCATCCAAGTGGCTTATATCATCACATGTGGGAATTGATAATCGGCACACATTGTACGCCCATGTTTCTCAATATGGAAGGCAAAGACCAGAGTAGCTGGAGAAACATTTACGTGACCAAACGTACAAGCGCCAGGGTCGGCAGGGAACCCACGACCTCCTGCGTATAAGGTAAGGGAGACAACATCTGCTCGCCACTGCAAGAGCCTTCAATGCATGATTAGGGATCGTCCATAAATGACGTCGCGCTATTTTGGACGATTTTTGAGCCCCCCTCCCTCTTCGTCACACGACGTAACAAAAAGTCAGACCCCCCTCAAATATGACGTCACACCCCTGCCCCCCCCAATAAAAAAACATGCTTCAAATCGCTTTAAACTATTGTCATTGTATTGCGTATTTAATATGGAGCTGCACTCTGATGTTGTAGGAGAAAACATTTATTGAAAAAGTCTATTTAATTAAGTAGAACGTGTTGCCTATATTTATTTAAAGTTGCGCATTTTGATGTGACGTCACATTTCTCAAACCCCCTCCCCCCTTCGTCACACATCGTCACAAATGTCTGACCCCCCCCCCCCCCAGGTGCGTGACGTCATTTATGGACGGCCCCCTAGCCCGCGTTCGTGATGGACTGGACCCACAGGAGTGCTCAATAACAAATGCTCCGACTTCCTCTTTATTCAATTGCCTCCTTCTCACCTGATAACACATTCCTGCGGAGGGAGCTGGTAGGAACGTTGGGTTGTTCGGTCAATGGCCAGGGTCAACGGCGGCGTGGTGTATTCCGCAAATATGCCCGACTGTGAGGGCGGGCACAAGCCGGCGTGAGTAGGTTAAACGTTGAGTTTTATAAGGGCACCACGGGGTGACCAGCCCCTCCCCACCCAGCCCCACCCCTCCCACTCCCCACCCAGCCCCACCCTCTCCACCCAGCCACTCCTCATCCTCCCCACCCAGCCCCTCCCCACCCTCCCCTCCCAGCCCCTCCCTGCACGACAGACGGACGGACACAATAATCCCCTGTGGGCTGGTGTTACCAGGAGGTTCCTACCAGCATACGTGTGGACCTATTTGTTGGGTCCTAAACTGTGAGTTAATTGGATGGCGACCCTTCAGTGCCTCCAACATGCTTAAAAAACACAACGAATCCGTTCCAAAAGCTCAAATGTGCAGCTTTTGCATTGTGTGGCCCATTATCATCAATGCCTGCATCTTGGCACCCAATTTGATTGCCATTCATTGGGGACCACTGGGCACAACAGAAGAGATATACTTACATTCAGCCGAAATCCCCTTCTTACTGAACACAAAGAGAAGAGGCAGCTGGGTGCCGCGCGAGTTAAAATTTCAGTTTGGATGATGAGTCACAGTCTCCTTGGTGGCGTGCTCGAGCCCATGGGGTGGATGAGATGAACGCACCCACCCCGCTCCCACCCCCCCACAAAGCATTGTCTGCAAGGCCTAGAAGTGTTCTCATGCTCACTACACATTTGATCGCCATCAGATGAATGCATACTCACACGCACATATATATATACAAGATCCCCTCGTATAGCCTGTAACAGACTGTTGTGTCAAGTGCGGTTAACGAGCACCTACGAAGGCCGGAACCACGCCCGGGCGCCTTTGTCTCCCTAGTGGTGATGCTTACACACCGCACAAGGTACTCATTTGAGGCTTAGTCGACCTAGAGGGAGGCCCAGGACCGGTTGACATGATCGTGTACTGGTGTTGGCCGTGAGCGGGAATCGAACTCGGGTCGCCGGGTTCGTAGCGCAGCTTCGCTAACCGCCCAAATGAGTACCTGGTGCGTTGTGAAAACATCACCACTGGGGAAACAAAGACGGCCACCCACCCACTCGTGTGCCGTGCCGGCCGTCATAGGTGCTCGCTCACAGCAATCGCTCCGACAGTCTGTTCAGGGTATACGGGGGATCTTTGTCTCTGTACCGCTCACCCCACAAACACACACACGCAACTCTGTCTTAAAACACACACCATTGCAACCGATGCCATTGTACTCGAGCCCAGAGGAGTGGAATGTGGACGACGAACGGGGTGCAGAAATATATTTTTGTCATTTCGGAAGGGGACGGCTCGCCTTATTTAAGAACCCGTACGTCGACGGGTCAAAGGTCGCCAGACACAACAGGGCTCTCGTGTACCATGCTAGTCTGAGAAAATCCAGTGGGGAATTGTGGGGGAAGTGGGAAATATGCAAACACGGCCCTGCTCTCGAACGAGTGTACAATCACATTAGGGCTGTAATGATACCATTACTATATCTGCGAGGAGGCAAGTTGGCTCAAAGGGGATCATATTGTGATGTCAACCTCCTCCATCTTAGCAGTCCACCTATTGCCTCTGCCCTACCTCCATCTTAGCAGTCCACCTATTGCCTCTGCCCTACCTCCATCTTAGCAGTCCACCTATTGTCTCTGCTCTACCTCCATCTTAGCAGTCCACCTATTGCCTCTGCCCTTCTCCCCCGAATCAACTCGCTTGGCCTTCACCTGCGTTCACCCCACCCCCACAACTCGTACAACTGGCAGTAGCCAGGACTGTATCTTCCTTTCGTACCGGAATGCAACACCTCGCTTTACTCGGTTCCACCCCACCCCGCAGACCACTCTCTCATTGCCCTCACAATGCCCTTAACTTTCCCTTGCTCCCTCCATTGCCTCCCCTGCCCACCCTCGTCGCCTGCCGGCAACCTTCGCTCCCTGGACACTCGCTCACTGGCTTCCCGCATCTCTTCCCTCCTTCCGTCAATCGCCGACTTTTCCTCACCCTCCAGCCTGACTCTGCCTCTTCTTCCCTCTCTGTCACTATCCTCTTCCCTTAACTATCTAGCCCCGCCCACCCCCTTACACCTCTGCTCCAAATCACCGAAGCCTCCCTCCCCCCCAACATGGTTAACTCCCTCTCTAAAATCTAGCTGACGTTCTCTGCGCTAAAACTGGACAACTGTTGGAAGTCTTCCTAATCTCCTCAGAACCCGTCATCCAATCGCTCCCTTCTCACCCACTTCCCCAGCCGCCTTAGAAGTAGCCAAGCGGTACTACTTCTTAACTCCAATTCATTCCCTTGTCCCTCAATCCCCGCCAACTTCTTCTCAACCCTGACTAACCCACTCCATCCACACCACCTCAGCCCTTGCATTACTTCTCCACGACTAAATTTGAGACAATTCCCTCAACTTTCGCTGCCCGCCTCATCTCCTAGTCAACCCCCCCCCCCTCAGTCCTCCCACCACTCTCTTCACTGATTTATCTCCCACATCATTATCCCAAATTTCCTCGAACATTCCCAAAGCCCATCCTACCTCCTGTCCCTTGGACACCATCCCTGCCTCTCTTTTACATCCACTCATATCCTTCCCTACCCCTCTTCAGTTCTTCCCTCGCCTCTGGTGTTTTTCTTGACATCCTCAACGCAGCTATCATCCCCCTTCTAGTCCTGCCAACTCCCAGCCAATCTCTCTCCCCCGTTACTTCTCTTGAACGTCTTGTCCCACTCCCATCTTACTCACTACATCTCATCCAATTCTCTTTACCCTCCTCTCCAATCTGGATTTTCTGCCCCTCCCATTCCACTGGAACTCCCCTCCTCATTGTACGGGGCCATTTGTCAAACTCTGCTCATTCTGGTCTCCCCTCAATCCTCATTCTCCTGGATCTTTCCTCAGCCTTCGACACGGCCGATCACCCCATGCGCCTTTCCACCCCTCACCAGTTTCGTCCCTCAAGGGGGTGTCCTTGCTATTTTTTTCCCTCTGTATCTCACCTCTGGAAGCTGTCATTTCTTAATTTCTTTCCCCAGTACTTCTTTGCCAACGACACCCATATCTTCTTATCCTTTCCCTCCTTTACCCATGACCTTTCCTCCCGCATTTCCCGACTGCTTAACCACTGTCCAATCCTGGATGTCACGCCACTACCTCTCCATGGATAGTTCTAAAACTGAATTCCTTAATTAATAATTCTAAAACTGAAATCCTTAATTAATCATTCTTAAACTGAAATCCTTCCCCCCCCCCCCTCAAACCCACTCTCCTCCACTCGGTCCTACCATCTCGTTCCCTCCCTTCTCCCTCACTCCATCTCCTATCCTCGCAACCTCGGGGTCATCACCAACTCCTCCCTCTCCAACCACATCTCAAGAGGACATTGGTTGGCCCCAGCGGAGAGTGCATCGAGGGAAGTTGAGCGAGACGAGAGGGGGAGAGGCGGGAGAGTGCGTGTGGCAGCTCGAACAGTACATTTCATTAAAGCGTGTTTTTAAAAAAAATATGTAAAAAAATGTTTTTACTTCCTGGATGAACGCGTAACGGTTGTGATTTTAAATGCATCCCAACCCAAGTACCATTGGAAATCCAACCAATGTTTCATATTATATTTACACCAGCATACTGTCATCAATTATATTAGGAATATTTTTTATAGACACATTCAGACGGCGTTCATCAAATAAAGGAATACCTTGTAATATTTCATGAAACATTTTATTTATGACTTAAAAAAAAGCGCAAAAATATTTTGTAACACTCACAATTTCCAAAGTTGGTATGAGTCTAGCTTGGTACTTTTTCATTTAAGTTTCCATGTCCACTTGCGTGACATCTTTGTGCTTACAATACCAATCTCATAAAGGACAATCTGTACAAATGATGTGAGCACGTTATTCTCATCTTGCTCTAATATCAAATTTAAGGGCATAAAAATAAGTGCTGCAATTATTTTTTTTCTGACCAAATGGTTTTAAAATCCAATGGCAAATATAGGTAGGGTCTCGTAAGCTGTGTCTAAAATATCACTATTTGTCGGTCGTTACAAATTTTCTGTCAACACTTTCCATTGGGATGTAAGAATAGATACAAATTCACTTATTTTAGTTCAGCACATTGAAGCACTCCCAAACGCCGACAAGTCACGTACACATCTTCCCACTGTCTGGTCACGTGGTGCAATGTACGCTGTTCAGATTTGATTTACATTTTGTTTTATAATATATTTTATGATGTCTCAAAAACGCTCATAAAATGTCCCAATTTCAATCATCACGTAAAAAGTTAATCGTATAAAGAATATTTCTTTTGCAATATCATTTAGGTTAAGTCAAAATGAATTGCATATTCACTCATTAATTAAATGATGGTTGATGTGACCTGTGACTTTAATTCGAGGGAGGTTTTTTTTGTTAAAATACCGAAATAAATAACTTGGAACGTTTTACAATACACAAAGTACAGGGATGGAAACAAATTATATTCGCATTTGACACGAGCATTCACATGCAAAACACTGAACACCAAATTGCAGTCATCAAAGATATGACACTTTATCATAAACCCAATACAAAAGGCTGGACCGCACGGCACGTGAATAAAAAGACCCGTACAAATCAATAAATTAAAACTCATAATAACAAGTGACCATTGCGTCGGCCACAACTTTTTTTTTTACAAAGCCTTCATAGGGAAATTCCTTGGGGGAAAAAAATACATTTTGGAAAGATGCTCAGATGTCAGTAATTTTGTAAGTGCAAAGGTATTATGAACTATTCCATGGACAATGCTTCTGGAATGCCTCCAAATGAGCATTAGCCTCAGATTCTGAACATGCATATATGTACAGGAAATGTCTGTTAATGAAATGCACAGTTAAACTAATACTTGTTATTCATTATTATTTAATGGTTATTTTGAAATGCATAATTAAGTTTTGCATGAAACTAGGCCCCATTTTTGTCTCCTTTACGGTAAACATCGGGCAGTTCAGCAGTATTGGTTCAAGCAAGAAAGTCTGACTTTGATGAGACACTGAATGACAAAACCAGTCCAGTTTTGAGTTGAACCAATGCTGCTAATCTGCACTCCCAGAAGGCGATGAAGGCATGGGTTGTGTAAAAAGTCTTGTATTTTTTTTACGTTGAGACAAAATATGGGAAGGAGGCTTTATTTACTTAACCTAGTGGCTATTTGATAGCGCAATCCGTCCATGTTGATGTAAATAATTCATAAAGGTCACAACGTGTAGGTTTTATACCAACACCCTGGAAGTGACCGAGTTGACTAAAAGCCACAAGGTTGACTCCCGACGCAGTTTTGATGTCTACAGAAGAAGGAAGCGATTTGTTTGAAAGCGGCGCATTGTTCTTTCCTCCGTGCACACTGAAGCTACCTGTCGCACGTCCGACACACAGCTCATGGGATACAGGAAGGGGGCAACTGACAACAGTTAAGATTCTACGGCAACGCATGGGCAATTGTGCTACATTCATAAAGTGTTTCTAAAGAAAACCGTATATATTTTTCTGGTATTAAAAGTTGTAAAATGAAAGATAAAAAGCAATTGGAATTATCATACGAAATTATGGCATGGAATGTTATTGACTTGTAAATTTGTAATCGATAGTACGCAAATACCACGTCATAATCTGGCCAGGTAGCTGGGCAGTAGTGAGTGGCTCACATTTCGAAGATTTCAAGTTCAAATCCGGGTCGGTGGGTGACTCAGCCCATCATCCTTCTGGGGTCGATAAAATAAAACACCACTTTATGGGGAAATCAACAGTGGTTGCTCCAAGTGGATAGACTGACCCTCACCGTAAGGGATGAAAATGCTGTCATCAGATGAGCACCGCCTCATTGCTGATTTTAGCACAAAAGCAATTACTTTTTTGGCCAGACTATTTAGGTTTTTTTTGGCCAACATTTTACTTTAAATAACAATAAATACAATCTAATAAAAAAAGTGTGATTTTATTATAGAGCATAAAGTACCTCCTTTTAAAAATAGAGCGTGGCACGAGTGAATTAATCGTGTTGGGTTCTTGGCAATATATACAAAAACGGTTGATATTTTATATTTTGTTCAATGCATTTGCACAGGGTGAGACGGGGGGGGGGAAGGGTTTGCATGGTAAGGCAGCCCAAAGATATACATCACAATAACTTAAACAGGCAAACTTGACGCAAAGATTGTCTCGTAATGATATACTGTATATATAATATTTCATAAAAAATATACAAACTTGCGGAATTTATTTTAATTAACAATTAAATACTGTGCACTCCATGGTGTCCACATTTAAAAAATAACGCAATTGCACGGTACACTTTCGGCACAATTTTTCCCCCCTCCCCCGTTAAAAAAAATAAAACAAAGCTTCCAACACAGGTACAAAATAATGCGACTTGCGTTACATTGTATTTACACGACGGAGCCGGTGTTTGCAGCGCACACTGCTCGCGCTGTTGCGAACCGCTGGATGCCATCACCCTGGGGGGCCTAAATGTCCAGGTGGAGGAACACACAGAACGATCCCAGTGTTGTTTTTCCACATTGCTTCATGCAAGATGAAGACCATTGATATGCCTTTGCACACCGAATAATGGAACGCTGGTCAATAACTACTGGTAGTGGTGTTATGCATAAGCTTCCCAAGTGAAAGCTTAGTGCCCCAAGCAGCTTGAATTCGGATTTACATATATATAATCTCTTTCTGATGGCTGTTAAACAAATTTTAATCGTAATTAGTCTATGCTCATTATTTCACACAACCGCGATATTTAGTTTACGTTGCTTGTCCATCACATAATGCTTGTCGTCACACATGACTGCGCACTCAAACGTAACGTCTGCTTGGGGCCCCTAGTCTGCTTGTTTACAAGATGCATGTATGTTCTGTGCATTGATAAGTTCCCTAACACACAAAGCCTACCGCTATAATTGTGCCACCAAAAGCGTGTTTGGAAATCAAATCGCTGCCTCTAATTGCTTTGAATGCGCATTACTAGTGGCTCGTAACACCCATTTACAAATTATCCGTATAAAGTGCTTCACAGGATGTGTTTTACTGCATTTGCAAGCGATAGAATGCAAAGTGCAGCACATGAATACTTTTTAACAATTCGAATAAAAAATTACCTGTGTGACCGGCGTTTAAGAGGCTGTGGGTCACGATGAGCTTTCGTTGTCAAAGTAATACATCGTAGCTAGACTAAGATGTATTTAGTCGACCTGGATGGCTTGGTGACAGTGGTTAGCGCACTGCGCTATGAACCCAGCAACCTAACGAATTCCAGCCAAGGCGAACATCAGTGGCGAGTGATGTCCAAACCAAACTTGGGCACCCCCTTCACCAATCTGCACTGGGCAGCGTGGTGAGGTATGGCTAAATGACCCCCACAGCCGACACGGCATGAGAAGTCCTTCATCCAGAAGTGAGATGACAAATGGCTGTAAATATTGTTAGGTTTTTTTTTCGTGCTGTGACGGTTCCACCTGAAGGCGGAAGCTTGTGTTGCCTTCGAAACGGCGTGATTTTTATTTAATTTTACTTTTATTAATTAAATTTTTTTACCTACGTGACTTTACCGAAAAAAAAAACCTAAGAATATGAATCCTTGCAGTCACAAAAGCTTCAAATCTAGAATGTAAATATTGTCTCTATCATTATCGTTCAAATTGATGTAATATATGTTCTTAGTGGAAATTCCTAATGAGAAACTATCTACAATTCTAAGGGCAGCAGGAGAGACGTCCTTAGCCTGTGTAGCTGGCTGCCCCTTGTTCTACGAAATGTCGTGCACACGTGGAATCGCAGATGTGGAAATGCGCTGCATTGGCTGCTCTGGGTGCTCGTTGTCGCTTCCTCCTCCTTGTGATTCGCAGCTGCCCTCGGTCGGCAGACCTCCGCACGGTCGTTTCACTTGAAGTTGGCGTAGTCCGAGAAGGTATCGATGTACTCCTGTACCACTTTGTAACAAAACTCGTACTGCTCCTGCGCACGAGAGAATGGGGAAAAAAATATATATAGAAAGAGTCTGCCACCCAGGAATGTGAGCAACACCGCACACAAATGCTACACACGAAGAACATTTTCTCCCCAACCTACTATTGGCTGCCCCCCTTCTGTCGCATTTAATGCCCCGTTTTGCCACGGGCCAATCCAAGTGGTTTTCCGTTGGCTATTTGCCATGCGGAGCCAGAATCAAACCGTAAAACATTGGGTCACATAATGCAGCCGAGTCTGGGTTACCACGAAAGCTATGGTTTTCTATTGAATAGCTTGAGATGATCTTCTTGGTTCTTTCGGTAAAGTCACGTAGAAGGGAAATAGTAAAATAATAAAACATAATAAAATAATTCTCACGACGTTTCGGCCACAACGCAAGCAGCCGTCATCAGGTGAAGACCAGGTCTGTCGGGGAGACCTGAGGATGGCTGCTTGCGTTGTGGCCTAAACGTCGTGAGAATTATTTTATTATGTTTTATTCTTTTATTATTTCCCTTCTACGGGACTTTACCGAAAGAACCAAGAAGATGAATACCTGCAGTCACGAAAGCTTTAAATCGAAGCTTGAGATAAATTGAAAATATAGAGGAGTCGTCTATGTAAGATGATGGCTGCACTATGGTTTAGTTGGCAATTATCAGTCCAATTGATTAATACTTATTTATAGTTATATATATATAAATTATCTTGATTATTTTTAGTAATTAAGATTAAATTAATTTCAGGTTTCAGATAATTGCCAAATATATGAAATCACAATCATCACATTAAAATGGTCTGAAGACATTCCATATTTATTAGGGCTTGAATTGTGTAATTATAAAAATGAAAACAATTCATTCTAATAACAAGTACCTAGAAAATAATTACGTACTTTAGTGGAAAAAACCTAACTTAATTACGAAAAGCAATATGCCAATGTGCCTAAAGAAGAACATTTCAAATCAACGTATTAACCGCTTTAACAAATGGATCAGAACCATGGACATTGGCAAAGAAAATTTAACAAACGCTGAATAATGCGCTAAAGACGCTAGGAGAGGTGTACGCTGGTAATTACGCTGAGACGACAACAAGGAACACGTGGGTCACAGAACATACGCAAACTGTGGACATCATGGAGACTCAAGAAAAGTTCAGTTGGTTTAGGCAGTGCACGCCATTGGTCTGTACTACTGATGAAGCGGCAGGCGAAGGAAGGAAGGAACCCACCCCCCACCACCACTCCCAAGGAGACGTCACAACGTGGAGATGGAGCAACGAAATCTGCTCGCGTGCAGCAGCGAGACAGATGACAACAGCTTGCGGAGGAGGCCTTCAATCGGCATTGGCTGATGACGATTACAATAATAACTTGAATAGCATTACTGCGTTGAATTCCGCTGCATTTAAATCACTCGTGGTTTATACGTGCAGGATAAACTGAAACACAATGTATATGAAATATTCTTAGGTTTTTTCGGTAATGTCACGTAGGTAAAAAACATTAAAAAGTAAAATAAAATAAAAATCACGACGTTTCGGAGGCAACACAAGCTTCCGTCTTCAGGTGGTACCGTCACAGCCACGACAGCTGTACCACCTCAAGACGGAAGCTTGTGTTGCCTCCGAAACGTCGTGATTTTTATTTTATTTTATTTTTTAATGTTTTTTACCTACGTGACTTTACCGAAAAAACCTAAGAATATGAATCATTGCAGTCACGAAAGCTTCAAATCTAGAATTAATGTATATGAAGCTTATCTGCGGGGTGGTAAATCCATCGGCTGTTTACTGTGCCTTGTGTGCACTCCCCCAGCTTTGAATACGCCCTCCAGTGGACCAACGGGAAATCTCACGCTTTCCGTTATGGTGTCAGTTTTGTTGCCAGATAGAAGGGTAAAAAAACAATTATCATATTTTTTACTGGCAAATGAGGTACCAATGGTGTAAATGCTTACCCCGAGCTCTCATAGTCTGATGGTGCATTGTCTTTGAGTTGTGCGCCTTTTTTTTCGTCATCTGGTCCAACCCATGTGAGACTAGGCTCTAAGGAAAGCTGTCTCGGGTGTGGACCAATCAACTTCAAGGACAGTGCATACATTATCAGAGTTATGTTTTTTGTTTGCATTATGACTGCAGGTATTGTGGTCTATGCAAACATGAGTCCTCGTAAAAAAGGTGTCAGTTTTGCTGCCAGATAAAAGGGTAAAAAAACAATTATCATATTTTTTACTGGCAAATGAGGTACCAATGGTGCTGGAGTTGTACCATACAGCTCTCCGATGTGTTTTCGGGCTGTACCGCGTGTTGTTCATCACGATGTCCGACGTTTCGCTCAACTGGCAGCAGCCCCACCTTCTCACTCAATGACGTAGAATTCTCGAAAAAAAGGAAGTTGGTGTAGCCAGGACGCGCCGAGGCAGAAAGTGAGCCGTTGGGCACGTCTTGAAGCACACGGAGCGAAACGTCGGACATCGTGGCCAACAACATGCGGTATGACCCGAAAACACATCGGAGAGGAACATCCCACTCTCGTCTGATGCTCTTTTTAGCCGACCAAGTACAGGAGCCAGAGTTTCAATGCAGTTTGTGACCGACAAGCACAAAGGTATTGGCCAAGGCCATTGAACAAAGGCACAACCAAAACATTTCACGGCCTCAGCCTCCCAAGTTGAATAAAGAGCACGTACTTATTACAGCCAAAGGAAATTGGAATGTGAACAGGCAAAAGCAATGCGAGAGTGAGGCTATGTAACCAAGCCACCACACTCAGTTTGTAAGATGCGATTGGATGCACTATTCGGACAATGCAAATGCATTTTACAGTAGCCTCGGTGGAGCGGTGGCGCAGTGGTTAGCGGAAAGAAATAAGTGGCCCAAGGCTAACATAAGAAAAGGAACCGGTGATAATGGGGACTGAGGATTCGGCACAACACCCGACCAAACACGGCTAAGAACGGGCACAATTGGAGAGATCCGAAAGCCGAGGCGTCAGTGATGCCCCCCCCCTACTCCACACAAACCATTTCGGTTAAGGGAGAGACGACGACGATGATGAGGACGACGACAATCGATTCACAATCTCAGAGCTTCCCAGCCCGGCCACCGTGTTTTCTGGCGTTGTGTGGCCCGAGCAGACGCGGTCAATACCAGGGGTAGAGGCCTCGGCAATGTAAGGTAAAAGTGTAAAAACAACGAGCCTACCTTTACCCTACCTTTTACCTTACCACAATACAATCACTCCACTCTACCTTTTACCCTTTAGCAGGTAAGGTAAAAGGTAAAAAGCAACGAGCCTACCTTTTACCCTACCCTTTACCCTTACCCCTTCGTATGTCGACACCTTTACCCTTTTACCCGGTAAAAAGGGTACAATTACCTTATCTTGCCGAGGCCTAACCAGGGGCAAACAACAACAACAACAACAACGACGGCGCGTTCGCTCGCAACTCTGAGGGCTCTTTCGCAGCCGTTCACACCGAGCGTGGGAGATGAAAGCGCCGCTTACCAGGGTCTGCACCATGTGCGGCCGCTGCATGCGCAGGCTCTTGATGGTCTGGAAGACATCGAGGATGCCCTCGGCTTTGACGCGTTCCAGCACCGTGCTGAGCGCGCAGAAGGTGCCCGTCCTGCCCGCGCCGGCGCTGCGTTCATCACATGGGGGGGAGGGGGGCAGCAGGCAGGCAGACAGACACGGGAGATACGTACTCTTTTGTTTTTTCGGTAAAGTCACGTAGGTAAAAATTTTTATAAATAAAATGAAAACATCTTCTTGGTTCTTTCGGTAAAGTCACGTAGAAGGGAAATAATAAAAATAAAACATAATAAAATAAAATTTTATGTTTTATTTTTATTCTTTTATTATTTCCCTTCTATGTGACTCTACCGAAAGAACCAAGAAGATGAATCCCTGCAGTCACGAAAGCTTTAATCGAAAAATGAAAACAACTGAATTAAATCACGATGTTTCGGGCGCAACACAAGCGTCCGTCATCAGGTGGGAAAGCATGGCCTACTGCTGATGCAGACTGTTTTTTAAAGGTTTCAAATGGGTGAAGCCCAAGGGTTATAAAGGAGTGGCTGGGGATACGGTGTGAGATTCCACAGGGTTGTTCAAGACTTTTCATCTCTTGCCGGCTATTAAATTGTCCAGAGCAACGTTCCCAGGCCACTAACGAGGCGTTTAGAATCGGAATCGAAATCTTTAATTAGACTGGAGGAGGAATGAACCTCTTTTTTTTAAATCCTTTATATTAAGTTTGCTTGCTTGCTTAGGACCGTGCAAATCTTTCGGTCGTTTTTTAACCCACTTCCCGTGATCCAATCGAGCTGACATTTTCCACACAGACTCGTTGTGCGTGACAATTAATGTTCGTGAAATTTTTTTTTCCAAAATTTTACACTTTTTAGGACAAAAATATTATATTTAATTACCAATTGCTTAATGGTGCAATGCAATCATCTGACCCATAGGTGGCAGCCATCTCAAGCTAGAGGACGACATGACTCGAGCCGCCACGCATATAAAGGATTCATAGTGAAAAACTTTGTTTTTACGGGTTATACTTATTCCCACCGATGTCCACTACGGGTAGGTCGGCAAACAATACAAACGAAACGCCAGGAGTGCAAAATAGACGGCAAAATGTGAGTTCAGAGGGACACGTCAACATGCGCGTGTTGAGGGGGGGTGGGGGTGAGGGTGAGGGAGGGGGGGGGTGCTCACCTGCAGTGGATCACGATGGGCTGGTTTCCCGATTGCTGCTGCTGCCTCTGCACGTCGGCGATGAGGCCGATCATGCCCTTGCCGTCGTCTGGGATGCCCACCTCTGGCCACCCTTGAAAGTGGAACTGCCGAATCTGCCGGCTCTTGTTATCCTTGTCAACGAAATGGAACGGCAAAGCAAAAAAAAACGACATGTCATTGCAATGTATATTCTTGAATCCAGAGCATCTATTATTGGAATCCACCCGTGTGGAGTTTTGAGCGTGCGGGGTTTTTTTTTACGGCTATTCTGGCTTCCTTCTTCAAGAAGCCAAACGACCCCATGCAATGGGCCAAATATTCCAATGCAGGTTCCGGCTGAAAATGTTTTGAGACTCGGCGAGGCTTTGCTGGATAAAGGGCATTATTATTATTGTGTAATGGATTTTGATATTTGTAAAACATCTCGGCCTTAGTTTTAAACGGCTATGTATAATCCTCTTTGTTCTTTTGGTAAAGTCACGTAGAATGTAAATAATAAAATAATAAAAATAAAACATTATAAAGTACGTGACTTTACCGAAAGAACCAAGAAGATGAATCCCTGCAGTCACGAAAGCTTTAAATCGAAAAAAAAGCTATGTATAATTCAACTGTTTGTAATATCACGTCTGGAGTCTTAAGATGGTTTCTGAAAGGCAATGCACCGGGTGTCAGGCTGTGTTCCAAAAATGTCACTCAACAATCTGAAAAGGGAATAAATTTAAACAAATAAAGGACTTGGGAATCTTTCAACGAGTCACTCACCTTGCCACTGGAAATGACAAATTCTCGGGCTGTGTATGAGCCAATGAGCTTCTCTGACTTGATTTCAATGGAGATGTCACCGAAGGTGATCGAATCTTTGGAAGGCCAGTACTGAAAGCACTTCTCCTGCAAGCGGCGGGGAAAAAATACAAGAGTCCAAAGGCATTTCAAGTTGGCGGCTGATTGTGTGAACAAGTTTTTTTCTCGAGCGCCGCATTAAGGATATGTCTGGCGCATCTGTTTAAGTCCAGACACATGAGCCCCCCCCCCCCCCCTCTTTACAATACGCTTGAGAAGTGTGACTTGCACACAGTGGGCCTAATTGTAGAACCCGGCAGAGGGGGGGGGGGGAGTTGGAAAACGGAGCTTCGCTTTCACACGAATTGCCAGCACTTTACTCAACCCTAACGCGAGAACTGTGAAGCGCTTTCTGAGCGTGTTTGTGATTCCCCTCTGCTGCCACCAATCTGAGTTCCTCCGCTGTCAATCCCCACTGACGAGCATGGCGAAGTATGATCCACTAGGCCTCAAGTAGGACGGTTGGCTACGTATCCACCTCGGATTCGCACGGTTGGCTACGTAAGGTGCGAAAGAAGTTCAACAAACTGGCATAAAAGTAAATTATACACAGTAATTTGCATTGTGGGAATGTTACTTTGTTTCACGACTGACTTGGACATTTGGCTGGGACATAATTATAATAAAAATATATATCCCAAAAGCAATAGTTTATTGTGCTTGCCCATGGTTCCATGCATTACTGCATCTTTTATTTGGAAAAACTACATTTAAACTGATAATTGGTTCTTTACCCTTCTATCTGGCAACAAAACTGACACCTTTTTGCAAGGAGTCATGTTTGCATAGACCGCAATACCTGCAGTCATAAATACAAACAAAAGACATAACTCTGATAATGTGCACTGTCCTTGAAGTTGATTGGTCCACACCCGAGACAGCTTTCCTTCGAGCCTAGTCTCATATGGGTTGGACCAGATGACGCCAAAAGGCGCATCATCTGGTCCAACCCATATGAGACTAGGCTCGAAGGAAAGCTGTCTCGGGTGTGGACCAATCAACTTCAAGGACAGTGCACATTATCAGAGTTATGTCTTTTGTTTGTATTTATGACTGCAGGTATTGCGGTCTATGCAAACATGACTCCTTGCAAAAAGGTGTCAGTTTTGTTGCCAGATAGAAGGGTAAAGAACCAATTATCATATTTTTACTGGCAAATGAGGTCCCCATAGTGTACATTTAAACTGCAAGCAATATGTTGCTTTTGCACACATTCGGGTGGATGTGCCGGTGCAAATACAGGATTTGGACAAGCCCTAGCATCCAGTTGAAAGGGGGAGCATTTTTATGGCGATTTTTGCTGGAAATTGTCACTGGCAACAGTTGCCTACCGCACCCTTTTTATTATTAAACAAAAATAAGTGTTTACCCAAATCTGGACCAAACTGACAGCTGCTGCCCCTAATGGGAGACTGGGATGGTAGCTGCCTCTGCTATTGCTCACACATCTGTACACAAACCGCTGTTCCACAACTTGCTTTTCGACAAAACTATTTTGCATTTGCAAGACACAACTCCGTCATCATTCTTAGGCTTGCCACGTGTCCTGGTTTTGCCAGGGTCATCCTGTTTTTTGTGAAGTCTGCTCTTGGCATCTCTAATTCTTCTTCTGTGTTCAACCACCACAGTGCAGGTGACAACACTTCTCTTTCCACTTCTTCCTTCTCAATGTTTACCCCCCCGCCCCCCCCCACATGAAATGTTGTCAGCTGCATAATAATACCACTAAAGCAAATGCATTTATATCTTGCGGTATTGTGAGATATTAAGCTACACATACTACGTCCAGTTTTTTCGCGCCTCAGAGTTGACAACCCTAGTTTAGTTTATTTATATCTAACTCGGAGACCAGGATAGTCTCATATTTCAGTGACACGGGCCACCAAAATGTCAAAATACAGATAAATAACACAAAGTCGACGCAGAAGCAGACTGCCTCATAACGAGTGCTCTAATATTGCCCGAGCTTGCCATCGCGGCCTTTAGGAAGGGCTTCTCAACCTAAACCGCCTCACCTGCCCACGCTCCTGCAGCTCAGTCAGCATGACGATGGAGAAGCACTTCCACTCCCACACCATCCTCCAGAAATCCTCCGCCGTGTGGGGCAGGGGCCCTTGCGTCACGATGTACGCATCCTTTTGGCGGTAGCCCTGCATGCCGACACCACGCAATAGCAACAACGATAAGGCAACACCGGCTATATAGAATCGTGACGGGCACTGCAAGATCTGACCATGTCCATTCAGTGCTCGCCAAGCTGCATTGGCTTCCGGTTGCCGAACGAATACTTTGTAAGATCGCGCTCATTACACACACACACAAAGTGCTTGCCACAAATTAACCACAATACCATGGTGATCTCGTCAAGGAGCATAAAACATCACGCAAACTCTGGTCATCCTCAGAGTGGCTTTTGGCTTGCCATCGAACGGGGATGGTCACCGCATCGCGCGCTTTCAGATGCGCTTCTGCGGCTGTCTGGAACGCTCTTCCTTACGATATTATAAAGTCACTGGAGCTAGGCACTTTTAAATCTAGATTGAAAACTCACTTCTTTATAACTGCTTTTTTGTGTTTAGTATGTCCTTCCCCCGAATCTCTGATTAGCACGGTTGGTTACGTACAGTGTGAAATAAGTTTTACATACATCGGATCTATGATGATCCAGCACTACTCACCGGTTCATAACAGTTATTCGCTCACTGATGGTCAGTCAACACACATTGTTATCATTCTTTTATCGCAACTACCGTGGTTACTGTTCGCATGAAGCGTGCTCACCGATTCCTCTGCTCGTGTTGAATACTCGGTGTACCAGGCTGACTGCGGTGTGATTCATAATTAGTTTATTTTCGGTGAGATCGTGTAGGCATGATAAAGTGTTTAACTATAATCCTGACAACCAATCAAATCAAGTTGTCAAGTGGGAAATTTTGGACAGTTGTCAAAAACATTCCCCTAGCTTTTCAACACTGCGGTTTGCTGGAATGCCAAATCAATTGACACATTTGCCCTCATGACAACTTGATTGGATTGGCTCTGTCGGCCAGCGCAGGGTTACAGTTAAACGATTGACGTTATACCTACATGGTTGCTCCAAGCAAATATAAACAAATGACCAATCATTATCGGTCGTCAAAGCCCATGTATAATATTGACTGTTTTGTCCCACTGAAACTGTTTGTCCACCACACTTGCAGGTCACGACATTTCCCTTTCTGTTTCCCCCTCTCGTCGTTTTTTGTTGTTGTCAATATCTTCATTTAAGTTTGCTCATTTCGAGATGCGTAATCAGCCTCAGACACCTCTTCTCTAACGTTGTGCAGCAGTAGCAGTACACTTACATCTGACGAGAATAATCATTGATTTATTGTGTGGAGCAGTGCACTCACATCTATAAAGGATGCGTTGATGTAGTCCGTGTTTTCCTCCCCTCTCTTCATGGGGATGATCACTCGATTAAAATCATCTGTGGAGGCAAAACTTCAATCAACAATCGGTACTGCGTTTAACCTGGAAACACGTTCTGATGTTGCAACTTAACGCTACCCTTTTACATAAACATCACTTGATTTTTTTTTTCTTGCGTGGCACTGCATCACAAGTTGCGGAGTGCAGCAGCAATCTCGTGAATGTCAGCGGTCTCAGAATTGGCACGGCAAGATATGTGTTCATGCTTCTTCCTATTACATTCCTGCGATTATAAACATCAAACAGCCCTCTGTCAATCCTCTGCCGGTTAAAGACACCCCCCCCCCCAACTCACTGTGTCAGTCACGGGGTTAGTTTTGATCATATTTCACCAGACGGTTCAGTGCAGGTCGGTAAAGGTGGGGAGACGTAGACACGGGAGCACAATGACAACCGTGGATTTTGCCCCCACTGCCCCTCGCTGTCCACAAGGTAACAGAGCCCTTGCGGCTGCCCCTGTGGGTTGGCGAAGAGAGGGGAGGCCAAAGACCGGCTCGGATATTGCACCACTTCGACCCTGACGCTAGTCGTGCCGGGGAGTCGACCTGCGTTTGCGAGTTTCATGGTGTAGCGCAGGGGTCGGCTCTTTACGGGCTGCTTCTTGACGATATGTACGTATGTACAGTATGTACTCAGATGCATTGCGGCTCTTGAAATACTGAATTTTGTACCGAATTGGAAAGAAATGGCTCTTCTTGTTATTTTGGTTGCCGACCCCTGGTGTAGCGTGTAAACCGCTGTGCCCACCGCTCCCGCCCCCACCCGCCCCACCAATTGCAGTGTTCACACAAAATAATGGCAACAGTCTTGAGCTGGTAAATCACCACCGTGTACATGCGGCTTGGTGATGTGTGATGCAGCACACTAGTCTCCTTAAGCCGATTTTGGATGTGTTCCATGACTGAGAAGTCAATAATATGTTGTGGCATGATACAAGTAAACAATTAATTGTGATGTAGGTGCTAGACTTTCACCTGGAAGATAAATTTATGCTGGTGCCATGGGCCCAACTTTTACAAATGTGAAATTTTATTTTCCATATGAACATTTGCAAGTAACATGCGAGTTTGTTTTTGTTTACTATCAGATCAGTAAAAATAGGTTAGCCAAAGTTGGTCAATCGGCAGATAGCGTGTAATGGGGTTAAAGTGCGGATACTTCTGCATCTCCCAAGACTTCAGGTGAGCATGAAAGTGCAAGCCAAAATTCCCTCTAGAGGGGGTTCTTTAGAGTTCCCTCTAACAGGAGACCTTTCCACCAGCAGTAGCCTGAGAAAATAACTCTGGGGCTGAACCTTTTCTCCACCGTGTCTCTTAAGTGCAGATTTTTGTTTTGTTATTGGGTGCAATTGTGAACAACAACCATTATCACACATTAGTACATCCTAATCGGCATAATCATTGGTTCAATGCAGCTCAAAGACTCAGTCCTACAAGGCGCGTGGTGTAGTTAGGAGATGTCAATGGTGCTTGGCATTTAAATGTCTGAAGACCAGAATCGGTGATTTTGCCGACAATACGTTCAGGGAGGCAGTCCAATATCCTGACAGCAGAGTGAATAGAGCTTCTGTCCAGGGAGCGCATTATTGCTTAAACAAATGCCACTGGAACGATTTTGTCCAAAACCCTCATGAGGTTGATGGACATTTTTTTTAACCAAATAAAACAAGCCCTCCTTCATGTGTTTTTTGTTTGTATTCCGTTAGCCGTAATACACCAAGAAGAACACACAACACATTTTTCCGCAATTTTTGTTAAGTCTGGAAACTTGAGCACTGTGACGAATTGGTAAAGGGGAACGTTTTCTTTGTTAGTGCCTGAACAACCTTTAACGTGAAGTGTAACATTTTAACGACAGATAAAAAATAATGCAGCGTCAGAAGGTCAAAGTGATCTCCTGCTCAAATAAGCGCTGAGGCAGTGCGCATCTCCTGTTTAGAGCCCTGACCCAGTGGTGGGAATTCCACATTTGAACCTCATGGCGGGACCCCGGGGTCCCATAAGCCCCCGGCTCTCGCATAAACTGCGTTGCGACGTCATTTTACGTCAACTCTCAACCAGGAATTGAACTCCCACAACGAGGTTTTGAGCTCACAAACATCCGATTGCGAGCCACTTGCTCTTGCGTAACCCTCCAAATGAATGCGTGAGCGAACGGTGTGTCATTGCTTTACACGGAATGATCTGCAGGACTCGGTTCTTCTTCATGTTGGCAGGGAGGTTACCAGCTCGCATCCTGTCGTTCTGGATCTTCACAGAGGTCAGCTTCTGTTGAGGCAGAATTCAAGTGTCAGACATCTCATTGTCAACATCCCCATGGTAAATGTGTAATAAACCTCTTGGAGACGGCTTGTGGAATCGGTCCTTTTATTTCACTTCTTCAGTTCACAAACACTCCCCGTTGCTGGCAGGCAACGGGAAGCGGGCAGACAGCCCACAAGAGACGCACCGCCATGTGGCACCCGGAGCCCCGCTTGCGCGTGGCCTCTCTCTCTCTTCGTTCCGTGTCTGATCACGTGTCTCTGATCTCTCCCCTTATTTAACGCCTGGGTCACGTGGTATACTCCAGCCAATCCTTAATAGCCTGCGCCGAATGTTCCAGATTCCCCATCAACTCCCGGGACCACGCCCCTTACTTGTCTTCCCATTGGCTGAGGCCAAGACCAGCAGAACCAATCACCCTAGCTGACATCCCGTGATCACGCCGAGGCCATGCTCCCAGGCTCTCCCCCCATTGGCTGTTAAGCGGGACCGGCAGAGCCGATCACCACGTGAGCCGGACGTAGGCTCTTATTACAAATGAATAATGTGAGCACCAGTGGATTACAACAACAGCAATGGCAAAGGTCACCAACAACTAACACATGACATGATTCCAGCAGCAACATGAATTATTATGAACATTCTATACTGATGTACTTAATAGAATTGGTGCTCGAAGTTGAAAAATAACAATCCACTTCTGGCTGGTTGAATGCCTCACATCGCCATGTCGGTCATAGGGGTTGTGTGACCAGACTTTGCCACACTGGTCACTACGTGGGTGGGTGAAGTGTGCGTGATTTTCTCGGGCTGCATCAGATATTGTTGCTGGGAACTCAACTCAGAGTCGCTGGGCTCACAGCACAATGCACCAACTGCTACACAACCGTTTCCCCCATGTTTAATTTCAATGACCGTTTTGAGTGCCTTTGTGTGCGACGGTTACGACAATGATTTAGACTTTGCCTGCTTGGACAGATGCTGCTGCAAAACATTAAGCTCGAAGGCCCATAGGCTCCTGCATTGAAATGTTGTTGCAATTTAAATTGTTAAAAAAGGACAGTTTATTTTGTAATTTTGTAGGATTTTTTTTTTACATGATGTATATTTTTCATTTCCACACTTTTGTTACTCCACATCTTTTCACCTTTGCAGTAAAGCATCGTGATGTTTGTTTTATTTCGTAGAAGGACAACTCCTTTAATATGCTACGCCATTTATATGGCGCAAGCAAGTCCATAATAATTTAGTTAAATTCAAAATGACAATGGAGTAGATACTGATGCTGTAAACATAATACCGGTCACACTCTGCAAGCCAACTTCCTTTTGATTCGCTTTTTTACCATAACGGACGTGAGCACGTTCATGGAATTTCCCCACCATATAAATTAAAACTGCGATTGCCATTGCAGTATATTTCTACGTAAGTTCCTTGGTACTGATGGTGTGGGGGTCCAGAGCCCAGCTTCTCTCGCGCTAGCCACAGGGAAAGCAGTGGTCACGACGGGCAGGAAGTATGACCGGAAGCAGAGCTCGGTAGCGATTGTTCGCAAGACCAGCGAGCGGCTCTTGAGAGGCCCAACAACAACAACAGCAGCAGATGGTGTGGCATTTCGTGCAAGCCGCCGCATGTCAGAGCAAAATAGAAATAGGCGAGAAGGGGGGGGGGTTACCCTCCCACCGGGTCCAGCCTGAGGGTGGCCGTGTTATAAACCGTGAATATGATAGGAAATGTTTAGAAACACGAGCCACTCGGTCGGCAACGAGTGATTAAAAGATGGCAGAGGTTATTCACGTAAAAACATTTTTATTTCACCCCCACTGCTGCCACAATTTTGCTATTTGCATCGGTCAAAACCAGAAGTCGCAACCGGGTACCTGATACCCGTACCCTACCCGATACCCGGCTACCCGTACCCGGCCGGGTACGGGTAGGGGTACCCATTTGCGACCCTGAGGCGGCCGGGTACGGGTAAGGAATCAAAACCCGTTTGCGACCTCTGGTCAGAACACTTGCAGAGCATTGCAACCCTTCGTGTAAGAGAACAGCCAATGTAAGTGAATATCACAGCTACATTGGAGACCCCCTTCAAGTGAGTGACCTTTGTTGCACATAGGTGGGAGCCTTTTCCAGCCGCTGTGTCACTGAGGGTATAAAGTTCATCCCACGTGAGAAACTGGTAATATTGTGCCCTTATTGGTGACCAGCCTGAGGCCATCAACTCGCTACACTTGAGAACCCGGTTTGGTCACAGGTTGGCTATATCTTCTTGGTTCTTTCGGTAAAGTCACGTAGAAGGGAAATAATAAAATTATAAAAATAAAACATAATAAAATAATTCTCACGACGTCCTCAGGTGAAGACCTGGTCTTCACCTGAGGACGGCTACTTGCGTTGTGGCCGAAACGTCGTGAGAATTATTTATAATGTTTAATTTTTATTATTTTATTATTTCCCTTTTACGTGACTTTACCGAAAGAACCAAGAAGATGAATCCCTGCAGTCACGAAAGCTTCAAATCGAGGTTGGCTATAACTTAGGATTCAAACCCAGGACACCAGCGGTAATGATGGCTCAATGCCCTAACCTCTCAGCCACCCGGTCGCCTCAGTGGCATGATTAATACCACAGTAGTACTACCAAGGCCCGCTGAATGATCCATTCACGTCACCGCCTCTCGCCTGCCTCTCACCCTGAACTCCTCCTCCAGGCCGATGAGCCCCGTGTCGGGAGTGCGGAGCGACAGCCTCTGCAGATGCGACTCCAGGGAAGTCACCTCCAGCTCCGTGTCTCCGTACAGCTGGAACTCAAGCAGCGCTTGGTAGATGAACACGTACTGGATCTGTGGGGGGCAAGGGGTGGCCCGGTGTGTGCACAGCGCTACAGGTTTAGTACTCGCGTCCTCGAGCCATGCAGCAGCAGCCCCCCCTTTAGCCCCCCTCCCCCCCCTTGCCTCAACATTTCCTTGTGGTAACAGTCAAAGTGATTTCCTGCTCAGGTGAGCATTGAGGCGATGCTCATCGTGAATTTAATCATCTCAGCCAGTGTTGGAAATAACACATGAGGACGGCTGCTTGCGTTGTGGCCGAAACGTCGTGAGAATTATTTTATAATGTTTTATTTTTATTATTTTATTATTTTCCTTCTACGTGTTTTTACCGAAAGAACCAAGAAGATGAATTCCACATTTATATAATAGGGCCGAAGATATGAAAATAAGGTATGATCATAATAATACATTAAATAAACATCGTAAAAATGTACACCCCTTCATGAATCTATACTTGACCATGCTGGGCAGTGTAAATTGGTTAAAGGTTGCGGGAAAAATACCCTGTTCATGTGCTTATGTCTGTGTACATACGTGTGTTCATTTAACTATCCCTGCTAAATATTTTATTTTCTGTCTAAAGTAGCAGCGCTGTGTTACATTGAAATCATGAAATTAACCTTTGGCATGAACGTGTGTCATTTAACTCCGCTATGTATAACTTGCCAAGCAGTGACATACATTTTTAAGAATGTTTATGCGCTTGGTATTTTCTGCGGAAGCTCCATTAGACAAGAATGCCACATTTGCCCGGGTGTTTATTTATCGTTGTTTAAGCCTAAATGAAATATGTGCGATAGTTGTGGATAATTAGATGGGAAATGCTGCACAGCATTCTGGCCAAATTACAGCTGATAAAAGGTTCTTTACCCACAAGAGTGATTAATTCATGAGCCGAACCTGAGGCCTGACCACCGTATAAATAACTATTAGCTGCTAATGGACTGCCATGAATACATGCAGAAGCACTCCCTTAGTAAATTACAATTTCATCTGTCGCTTGCCTTTGATGTGAACATTTCACTGGTGGCAAACATTTTTTGCTGAAATTATCCCCAAGCGTAATTTTCTTGCTTTTAAAATTGTGCGTCTTTTTGGCTTTAATTGCAGTGTTTTGATTATTTAAAAAATGTCCGATAAAAAACGGTGCATGGAGAACAGATATCTTATGAACATGAGAGCCAACATCATGTGAAAACGAAATCAAGATGAGAAGGGAAAATGTGGCATCTTTTTCGATGACCGCTTAACAAGGGACGGTTATTGTGAGATGCCTTGAGAAAACTTGCCGAGTATTGCGATACGTTTTTAAAAACATCTGTACGTGCTACTTATTTCCTGCAGATGCCTCTAATCCTCTAATCCTTGTCTAAATGTAAACGCACTATGTGCGATACCTCTACATTACTAGACGCCAATTGCTCAAAATCGCTGTCCAAGTAGCAGCTTAGAAAACGATTCCAGGCCCCACGAGCGTGATACATTCTTGAGCCTGTCTTGAAGCCTGATGTTATAAATAACTTTAGCCCTCTACTATACTGCGGACGAACAACATGTTCAGAAACACAGGCACAAAAGAAAGGTTATTGGAGACTGACATGGGGGAAGTTCTGGATGGTTATGAAATGCAGCCTTGATACAAATTGTAGAATTGAGCACGGTCAAGAGAGGGACGTGAAATCATGGAAGGAGGCACCGCGATTGCTTATTGCGGTTGTATTTGACACATGCCAAGCCAATTTTTTAGGGGCGGAACAACATAACCTCTTCCAAGCAATTCTACGATTCACAACACGGCAGTGAATCATCGCACTGCTTTGTGTGTTTAGTCGGTCGCTCTTCGCCCACACCTCTTATTGGCACGCTTGGCTACGTACAGTGCTGAAAAAGTTACACACGCATACACCTCTAGTGGCTGTAGCGGTGAAATAAACCCATTACAAACAACACTCAATTCAACACCTCGATTTATACGCGCGCGGGTTAACGCGCGTCTCGTGAGTTTTCAGACTCAACAGATTGAAATTTCCGAATCGAAGCGTCGTTTCTGCCCTGTGATTATTGTCTACGCGCTGTATCGCCGTGCCGAGAACCGCGGCGGCTTCACGTTCACGTGTGCGCCCGCACGCCCGTGTAACTGTGACATGCGGTCACTCACGTCGGTCTGCACCATCTGGCAGCGCTGGGCGCGGATGCGCGACACGAACCCGAAGACGTCCACGCGCTGCTCGGCCTGGATCATGTCAAGCATCGCGTCGATGACGATGAACGTTCCCGTCCGGCCGACTCCCGCGCTGCACGCACAAACGCACGAACACACGTGAACGCGCGCACTTAACGTCATGCACATTAACTCACGAGTGAATACAGGCAAAACACACACACGCGTGCGCATGAACACGTGCATGAACACAAACATTGACACACGTGAACACGTGAATGCATTAAAACGTGATCACGCACTCACGTGAACACACAACATCAACGCACATGAACGCCCGCACACGTGAACGTGTGTGAACGCAAACATGCGAGCATACAAATGCTAAAACTAGCACTCGGGCCCACATGCCAGAGGAGGACCCAGGCAGGCGCTGTGTTGTGAAGAGTGTGGGGGGGGGGGGGCAGGGGAAGGGGGGGACAGAATTGGAAAGGGGTTCCCCGTTTAACTCCTCGCACAGCAGCCAACGTGAACCGCACTATTCCACCGATACCACAGATGGCTCTTGGCAGTGCAGAAAATTATTTTGGCCGACGGCGGTGCCGACGTTACCACTCGAAACATTCATGAGCATCGCAGCGTGTGGTGCCCATCGGTTTCTCGGCCAGTGCGGCCGGCCTGCCACAGGTCAACGAGAGGTCGCCGCAGCCAACGCCGTCGATTCAAGTGCTGCCACCGCTTCCTTCTGCGATGTCCTGCAGATGTTGCAAAGTTGATATGTGACCTCCAAGGTCGGCTCTAACCGTCTGGGTTAAGTATCCAACCATCTGGCTTTAGGTTTTCCCCCTTACCTGCTGACCCACTGAATGCCACTCCACTTCCTGGCATGGACACCCCTCCCTCCACTACACTCATGCTGCACCTCTTACAATGAACTGCCGATTGTATTTACACCACTTTCCTGCCTGCCACATGTTATTAAAGACCCTATCCGCCTCCATCCTGCGCATGTGCCCCCACTGAGCACAACCTCTTCTCGATTACATCTGCAATTCTCTCTTGTCAGGTGCTGTTTGTAAACATCCAAGTTGCTTACCCTGTGCCTTGCCTCTGTGACAAATACCTTATTCTATGGAATGCAAGCCCCCCAGAGGCGAACGAACTTAAGCATTGTGAAGTCAATGCGAATTAGCAAATTGAATAACAGAGCTATATAACATACGTGAGTGAGCAATGGTGGTTTTACAAAGCTTTACAAAGCATTAAGGATCATGTGCCTGGAGCGACGACAAGAGTTGTGCAAATGGGCAATTTTGTTTTCTTAAGATGGTATCGATTATTTTTAAGTGCTAAATAAATTATCCTCATCAGCGAGTTCCGCGTGGACATTTTGAACGATATTGAAACTCGTATTCCTGCGATGCAAAGATTTAATTGACGCAGCCTCTGAAAGATTGGATGCCCAAATGCCCTGCCCTGGAGTTCACCCTCTGCCTTTCTTGCAGAGTGGAAATGACTGCAGCCTTTCCCCTCGGGCAAAAGTTCATCTTGTAAAGCACAGGGAACTCTCGTTTTAATTTTCATCCTCCTAATTTACATACGATTTGCATTTTCCGCGTTTTTTTTCTCTCAGTCCACCCCTCCCCTTGGATAAATCGTGCGTTACCTACATTAGGGTCGCCTACAACCTCATTGCCCCGAACGTGCCCCATCTCGTCAAGTATGAAGAGCAATGCAGGACTGAGCCTGGCGAACACGAGGATGGGTGACCACCTTCCAACCCAGCTTAAATAGACGCTCCAAGCGTGGTGGTGTTTCATTCAGACGCTGTCTCCCCGACAGACCTGGTCTTCACCTGAGGACGGCTGCTTGCGTTGTGGCCGAAACGTCGTGAGAATTATTTTATTATGTTTTATTATTTTATTATTTTATTATTTCACTTCTACGTGACTTTACCGAAAGAACCAAGAAGATGAATCCCTGCAGTCACGAAAGCTTTAAATCGAAAAGGTTTCGGATAGATTTGAGACGTTCAAACGGGGGGGGGGGGGGGGGGGGGCGGGAGGGGGGGGGGTCTCACCTGCAGTGTACCACAATGGGTCCCGAGTAAGAGGGGTTGGACGTCTTGACCTTCTTCAGGAACTTGAGCATGCCGATGGGCGTGAAGGGCACCCCGAAGTCCGGCCAGCTGGTGAAGTGGAACTGGGTGACCAGGCGCGCTTGGTGTTTACCCGGCCCCTCCCCGACCTGCGGATAGCGCCGAATTAGCGTAGCGGGGATTTTAGGGGGCTGCAGCCGTGGATTTTGAGGACTTCCAACAACATATAATTATTGTTTAAGTGGTTGAAATGCAACCACTGACATTAAGATAGATCCTACAGTGTGATGTGGCGATTTAATTCTTAGCATCTAAACATTTTTTTTTACCAGGTAAGGCCCACTAAGCGATATAGGTCTGACTGCAAATGATAGCTCAACGAAGTGGCTTATGTGGAAATTTATAGCAGCCAAATACTCGAGACAGCATGTTTATAAATGTGGAGGAGAAAAACCGGAGGACCCGGAGAAAAATCCACGCGACCATGGGGAGAGAGAGACACGCAAACTCCAAATGTCGAGGCGTCAGGGTCGGCATCGAACCCACGACCTGCTGTGTGATTACAGGGCTCCACCTTTTCACCGACACATCTGTTGGCCTCACCAGCTGTACGCAGAACTTGCGGATAGTGTAGTCCACAAGGACGGTGATGTCCTCCACGGAGACCCGCACGGAGCCATACGTCCAACAGCCCTTGTCGGGCCAGTACTGAGAACACTTGGTCTGAGTCGCACGATTCGGGAGCCAGGGCGAGAGGTCAGGAAAGCCAGACATGAGAATGTGTATTTTCTAATGAACACTAAACACATTAATCAAGTTAAAGTAATATATAGTAACTAGGTCAGTGGCTCGCCAACCATTTTTTTGGATACTGTACCCCTTGTTGAACTTTGTTTCAACCAAGTATCTGCCTTGCCTGACCCAACGTGGTTCTGATAAATGAATGAATAATGAACATCAATATTTCAACCAATTGTTCATTTTGTGATTTATCCTAACTAGCTAACAACTTCAAGCGAATGAAAACAAATTCAACGCACGCTCTGCACGCGTGACGTAATTTGTTCTCGCTCGCCGGTTACGCTAGGAAACAACGTTGTTAACGATCAGTGAGTTTATAAAGGTCTTTTATGTCGCTCTAGGTTACCATATGGATTAAAATGTCACCGTAGTTATTTTACATTGGCAGATTCATGCGTGATTATTCACCAATGACCCGTGCACGATATAATTTCACGCATTTATAAATCACCTCACGTATCCCCTGGGACATTGCCAGGTGTACCCCCCCGGTGGTCCACACACCAGAGGTCGAAATCGAGTACCCAATACCCGTATCCTACCCGATACCCGGCTACCCGTACCCGGCCGGGTACGGGTACGGCTACCCGTTTGCGACCCTGGTGCGGCCGGGTACGGGTACGGGTAAGGAATAAAAACCCGTTTGCGACCTCTGCCACACACACCCCCGGTTGAGAACCACTGATCGAGGTGATGTAAAGCAGAAACTTGGATGTGAACCCAGGACGTCAGCGCTGCTGGTTCAATATTCGAGACCCCTTGATCCCCCACCACGCTACCTCTTTCCTCTCTTGCAGGTTGGTGACCATGACGATGGTGGAAGTGTTCTGCTCCCAGATCATCCTCCAGAAATCAATTATCGTCTCCTCCTTCGGACCTGTGAGCAAAAGGGGTAATCGCTGGTGAAGTGAGGCATGGGACGTGGCATTTAAAAGTTCACCGCCGTAACCGACACGGATTAGTGAATCTCTTCCAAGTGCACATGTTTCGTCTATCGATACAATAACAGAGGTCAAACTATGTGCCTCTGTTGGATGCATTCATGTAGTCACAATGCAAAGTTTACGCAACATATGTTCTTAACTTTCACATACAATAACAATTCCACTGTTAAAATACGGTATTGTCGTGTATCATTCCACAGTTGACCTGTATTACCGGGTTTATAAATTTAAACAAAAAATTATTATAATCATAAGTGCCACGTAGGTGCTATTAAATAAAAATCGCAATAGGCAATCAATACAGCAGTACGGGTAAACTTGGACACGTCCTTCCAAAGACATATCCAACTTTCAAACAGGACAAAGCATTTTCACATCATGCATATTCTTGTCAAATAAAAAAAATTGCATGCAGTGAGTTTTAATGGGCAATAAGCTACACGTGAAATTAGCCCGCACGATCCACGCAGCTTCGGGAAGCCTTCATCCAGCAGCGGATAGACAAAAAGGGCTGTGTATGTACAACACATGTGCCGCACATGAAATGGGGGCAACAGCAATATCCAGGAGGAACGCTGGGGGGGGGGGGGGGGGGTTGTGCTGCACTGAAAAGGCTGAAAACCGAGATGCGCGTGCATGGTCGTGCCGCTAGATGGCGCACGCAGCCTAGAGGGCATTGCGACTGTGCCTTGATGAGCAGTTCTGTAGATGAACATTCTTTTGTATCCGTTTCAGCAGAAACGTCTCGAGAGAGAGAGAGCGAGAGAGCAGAAGTCCACCACAGCAATGCATCACAGAATGGCGAGATTAACCCCACGAACCACAAGGCTGGGTCGGAAATGAAGAGAGGAAATCGGCAAGAGTTGGCGGGGCCCATCTCAGACAAGCAGGAAGAAAGGTCGAATTTCGATTTAAAGCTTTTGTGACTGCAGGGATTCATCTTCTTGGTTCTTTCGGTAAAGTCACGTAGAAGTAGTCACGTAGAAGTACGTGACTTTACCAAAAGAACCAAGAAGAAGAAAGGTCGACTCGAGTGGCTAGGGCGAGGACATGTCGTAAGAGAATGAATAACCACATCGGAAAGAAGGCAATGGGACTTGGAAGCACCATGGCAGAGGCCTAGAGGCAGGCCTAGATAAAAAGAGGCGGTTGGGAGTAGTGAACAAAGATGTGAAGGACTGTGGAGCAGACATGTATGTTGAACTTCTTTCACACTGTACGTAGCCAACCGCACTACTCGGAGGTGCGATCGAATGACAAATTGACGTACGGATATTAAAAAACACGCAACATCGCTATTCTCCCATGTGGCACCACACCCGCGTGGGAATGTTTGCAGTGCCCCACCCGCACATGAATGTCGTGATAGGTGGTGCTTAGGTGGGAGTATTACGACAGGGCAGTTCTATCGGTTGGGCAAGCTCACAGTCATCACTTTAAATTCATCATAAGACATTCTCTAATTTTGGAAGCAATCGGCTACAGTTTTCTAAACTTTGGCTAATTTATGGGATAACTCAATGGGTTTTCCACGTGCTGTACATAAAACTGAAATAAGTATAACCCGTAAAAACAAAGTTTTTCACTCTAAATCCTTTATATGCGTGGCGGCTAGAGTCCTCTCGTCCTCTGGCTTGAGATGGCTGCCACCTATGGGTCAGATGATTGTCTGCAGTATTAAACAATTGGTAGTTAAATATTTAATTTGTTTTCCCTAAACAGTGTAAAATTTTGGAAACATTTTTTCACGAACATTAATTGTCTCACACAACGAGTCTGTGTGCAAAATGTCAGCTCGATTGGATCACGGGAAGTGGGTTAAAAAACGACCGAAAGATTTGCACGGTCGTAAGCAAGCAAGCAAGCACGCAAGCAAGCAAGCAAGCGAACTTAATATAAAGGATTTAAAAAAGCCACAATATCCTTGTACTAACGATTACGCACGTAAATGTAAGTGTTAAAAAAAGACTCTGCCCAATCTACACGTAATGTTTTTACCACCATTTTTTGTAAATACATTTATTCTATTATTGTGACAGTCGTATTATTGAAGCCCACTCAACCCTGGGTGTGTCTCTCCTAAAACTGCATACAATGCTACTATATTTAATCCAGTACTGAAAATGTCACACGTTTTAATCAGATGCCCCATGACTCAATGTTACCTTGGGCTGCTATGAACTTGTTTTTTTCTCTGTATCCCTGTAAGACAAAATAAAATGGAAATGTGTAAAAGTTCAACAATGCAGTGACTGGCATCTATACAGCGGCGACATTCACATTTTTGGGTAAGAGTAAACGGAGCACAAACAAAACTATGTTCTGTCTCCACATGTAACACATTCCTGCGGAGGGAGCTGGTAGGAACGTTGGGTTGCTCGGTCAATGGCCAGGGTCAACGGCGGCGTGGTGTATTCCGCAAATATGCCCGACTGTGAGGGCGGGCACAAGCCGGCGTGAGTAGGTTAAGCGTTGAGTTTTATAAGGGCACCATGGGTGACGAGCCCCTCCCCACCCAGCCCCACCCCTTCCAACCCCCACCCAGCCCCAACCTCCCCACCCAGCCCCTCCCCACCCAGCCCCTCCCCACCCAGCCCCACCCTCCTCACCCAGCCCATCCCCACCCTCCCCTCCCCACCCAGCCTCTCCCTGCACGACGGACGGACACAATAATCCCCTGTGGGCTGGTGGAACCAGAGGTTCCTACCAGTATAAAGCATTTGTTTACATCCATCCACCTATTGGCTTTCCAGGCACAATATTATCAAGCAGCAAGCACACTCTGAATCGGCTTAATCCCGCTGGTACAACATCTTATTGGCAAGAGCACCCAATTGACATTCTGGCGTCTCATTCAACGCACAAATCGGTACGAGTTTGCGTTACTCTTTCTTGGTATCTGAAGCGTGATGTGGGCATCGTGCTTGCATTGCGCAAAGTCTCCCGACGTACGTTTATGTAGCTTGCGTTTATGTAGTCGGATCCGGGTACCGATTCCATTGGGCTCAGGTGCACCCTGGACTGGTCATCTGCAGGAAAAAACACAGATGGGGGGTGGGGGGGGAGGAACAGTGTCACATTAACTCCAGTACTGCAACAAAAATTGCCCAGTGACATTCAGTGTATGACTAAAGAGTACGGAAAATGTGATTTCATTAGCTGAGAGTTTAATGGACCCAAGGCCCTCTGGTTAAATTAAGGCTCAGCGATTAATTAATCATCAAAGCACCATATGCTTCCAGAGTGAACGTTCAATGCAAGTGGCAACATTTGCGAGAAGAGATCGTTGCGTGGGTCAGTTTCCTCTTTGTCACTCTTCTTTTGTTATTGTTCCCAAGAACCTCGCTTAGCAATTCTTGCACTCGTGTTGAGGACTCGATTCACCGGGCTGACTGTTTAGTCTCACCCGAGCGGTGTTCAACCACTACACTGCAGGTCACAACACACTCGCCCACCCACTCAGTGACTCGCCCACTCACTCAATGATTCACCACACTGCAGGTCAGTGCACTCAGCCACTGACTCACTATACTGCAGGTGACAACACTTCTTTCAGTTAATTCCCTCATTATGCTCCACTTTGGAATTCCCTCCTCCCATCATTGACTCTCTTCCAAAGTTCCTGTAAATCTCGCTCAAGTCCATCAGCGTTTCAACCGTCATCCATTTCAGCTTCAATGGTGCAGCTTGTTGCTGGCCTTCGGGTCAGCAATGCCGATTAGAAAAGAAAATTAAATAAAACATCGTAGCCGAACTCTCTAAGTATAAAATTAACTCGCGGCTAAATTTCTGCCTTGCCATGGCAAAGGGGCTGGAGTGCCTTGTAAACGAGAGTGGCTCTATTGCATAGGGCAGGGGTCGGTAACCGGCAGCTCGTTATACACACTGCTTCGTGACACGTGATGGATGTATAGGCATTGCGGCACTTGAAATACTGAGTTTTGTACCAAATTCGACAAAAATGCCTCCCATTCTTATTTGGATTGTCCAACCCTGCGCTCGGGGCAGCGAAAGGCAAGACGAAATGCGTTCGCTTCACCTACCCACGCTGATGAGAGTGGTAAAGTGTGGTCAAACCCACCCACCCCCACCCCACACCATCCTCAATGACCAACAACATCAAAACCATAGCCGCCAGCGGCCCGGCGAAAATGCCGTCAGTTGGCAGGGCGATGGTGCAGGGGTGCAAAGACTCACCGGGTACCAACAGGATGGATTCTGAGTTTGACCATTGGTATTATTTAACAAACAAAAAACCTCACATTTGTCTATAACACTGCATAAAAAGAGAAAAAAAGCAAACAATAGGTGACGTTTTGTGAAATTGCCCTTCTTCACGGCGTAAGAGAGAGGCCAGAGAGGTAGAGTTTAGGATTATATCGCAGGATAGTGGGAGGTGGCGGTGGCAGCTTGCAGAGGGCCTTCATTCAGCCGCGTATTGGACCACGGCTGACGATCACGAGGACGATATTAAAATTTCCCCCAAGAAAAGCAAAATTTCAAATTTACCTTCCTCCTGACAGCGACCTCGAACATCAATGGACCCTCGCGCGGCTCAACAAACAACAGCAACACGTGCTGATCTTAAACAAATTTGAAAGGGCACACGAAGAACGACGCTCAAAGTGGTGAGTGGGAACAAGAATGCTCGCGAGAGCAAAACCCTTGCGCGGAATGACCGCCGAGGGCAGCAAGGGTGCAATATTTATCAAAACCACCTTTGAAACGGCGCGCAGTTTATTTATCGCAGCGAGCGCCATTGTGCGCCGTTTGATAGAACTTTAATGTTGATGAGACGGACGCAGAGCGGGGCACGCGCGTGGCGGGATGAGGAACGCACACGGCAGGATGTTGATGTAGCGGTTCTTGTCCTTGTTTTCCTCCTGGCTTGCGGCATCGCACATGAGCTGGGGATGCTCGCTGGGCAGCCCCTGAAAAAGAGAAAAGTGAAATGTAAATCGTCACCAAACCAAGGAGCTCAGAGGTCACGACTGGACAACGAATAGAAAGGAGGGAATGAAAGAAAATGGGATGAGATGTCTTTTCTCAAGCAGTGGGGAAAATATTTAATTCTTCACCGAGGAAACCATAACCCCCTGTCTCAAGATGTGTTTTCAGGAGGGTTCTGCATTGGGGTGGATTGGCCAGTCCACAAATCTACAACGTATTATCCATCAACCCTGTACACGTACATTTGCAATTTACTTTGGTGACAACCATGCCACTGTGACAGAGTACAACGTGAAATGAAGCTTTGCACATTATGGGACATTTATTGACCGTTTAGACAAAGTTGTCCACGAACTTTGATGAAAACCTCTACCACTGTGACAAAGTATAAACACACATGACACATGATTTAAATTAAAGTTTCTACACAGAGGTGGCCGCTGGGTCAATATATTGGTGGGGGGGGGGGGGTATGGAAGCCCATAGGACAGGGAAAAGGGGAGTTCTGAAGTTCATCTTTTTTGGAGAGACACACATGGGCAAAAGGCATTATTCTGTTGATAATGAGGAAGAAAGTATTAAGGTTTTTTAATAATCATTTACATTTGTAAGGTGCATTTCATCCGTAGAACCTCAATGCGCCATGTATGGAAAGCAGGAAATAAACAGAACCTGGGTAAACGTCCATAACTAGGGGTCAAATACGCGAGTTTCAAAAACAGACTTAAACATAGCTAACGATTCCGATCGTCTTATTAGCAAGGACAATAAGTTCCAAAGCACAGGAGCTACACCGGCAAAAGCTCAATATTATGAGGCAGCGTTAATGGTAAACTTGGCGAATTTATATTTACGTGTATACAATGTATGTGGTGTTTGTATATGATGATTGTTGTGTTAGTTATCACGCAGCACCTCCTGGTAATGGGTGAAGATGTCACAGTGGTTGGCGCACTGCGGTGTGAACCCGGTGGACAAGGAGTTAAATTCTTGGCCACGGCTAAAATCAGTTTTGAGCGATACATATTAACTGGTTCTGGTCCTCTCCCCTTCGCCAAACTGCACTGACCCCCCCGCATGGCGAAGTCTAGTCGAATAACTCCAATGACCGGCACTGCGTGGGGTACCCTTGATCCGGCAGTCTCTGCATGTACGTTAAACTTTTTTCGCAGCGGAACGTAGCCAACCGTGCTAACCGGAGGTGCGGGAACAAATCAGACGTGGGATTGACAAAGGGGTATGAATCACGCAACGACAACTACATCTGTGTGGCACGAGCAAAAGGGAAGATAGCTCTGTCTTCTCGACAGACCTGTTCTCCACCTGAGGACGGCTGCTTGCGTTGTGGCCGAAACGTCGTGAGAATTATTTTATTATGTTTTATTTTTATTATTTTATTATTTCCCTTCTACGCGACTTTACCGAAAGAACCAAGAAGATAGCTCTCTAGAGCTCCATGAATGAGTCCAAGCAGTTTCCACTTCACTCCACCTGGTGTGAAAACCTGAGCAGTTCGACATCCGAGTCCATTTCGACGTCGGCTGGAAGATGTTTTTAAATTTCAGTTTTCAAACTTTCATTCCATATTTTGAGAAATTACATTCTCGTTCAATCAGGTGGGTTTTTTTTTCACGTTTTGACCAATTTAATTTCAATACCGGGCCACTGCTAACATCAGTTGCAAGTGAAATATGAACCAGTCCTGGGCCCCCTTTACCAATCCACACTGACCAGCGGGGGTTGATCCATGGTCAGACAACTCCTACATCTGACACTGTGTGGACACGTCCTCATCCAGCAGTGAATTAGCAAAAAGGCTCTAAATTGCCTAAGCTGGTACTGTATTTCACTTGACATTGACAAATTGTCCTTCGCAGACATGAGCGTGTTGTGCGAGCGTCTGGCACTGGAGTGTTGTGTGAGTCTCTGGCAGGAGAGTGAGGTGCAGGACTCTGGTAAGACAGTGCTGCACGAATCTGTGTTAGTGGAGTACGCTGCATGGCTGGCATTCCATTGCGGTGTGCGACTCACGTTGAACTCGTCGCGGAAGAGCTTGCACTCGTCGGCCGAGCGCCGGATAAGGTCCTCCTCGAGCCGGCCGACGGGCACGGGAGGGAACTGCCGTCCCGTGCTGGGCACGCGTGCCAGCAGAGGCGTGCTCGTGAACTCTGTTGGGGAGGAGGGGGGTGGCGGAGAATCGTTTGCCCGTGTCATTTATTTGAATTCGAGTGGAAATGGGCCGGCCCGCATCGTGAGAAACAACCCATGAGCGATGGCGGACAAGATACGTGGTGTGGGTGGCCGAGAGAAGACGAAAGAAAACAGCGGAGTGATGATGGCGGACGGGATGGAGAGATGGAATCAACGAGTCTAGAGGCAACGACTGGACAAGAACGAAGGAAAGGGGGGAATGAAAGAAAATTGGCAGAGACCTTTGACCAGCAATTGGAAAATTGCAGGCTGCCGACAACATTTAATTATTCATCAAGGGAAAACATCGCTGAGTCTCAAGATGTGTTTTCAGGATGAGACTGCATTGTGGTGATTGGCCAATCCACAAAAAAACAACGTATGATCCATCAACCCTGAATTATGAACGTTGTGCCCCTATGCCCACGGAGCAGATGCTTGCGAAGGCGTACAATGACCTCAACACAATGCAATTGCATTGCAGCTCTTGCGATGTGTTTTGGGGTTCGAACGACATGTTGTTCGACATCATGCCCCGAGGTTCCGGGCCACGTGCTGGGAGCTTGTCCAGGAACTCAATTCAGTCGCAGCACCTTGAGTGAGATCTCAAGATGTCGTGCCAAGCAGCACGCGGTAAAACCCGAAAACAAATCGGAAACCTGTACAGCACAACCACGAACACCTACCCACAATACAATTACAGTGCGTGGTCACAAATAACGCGGACGACTATACCTTGTTCCCGCATGTAATGTATTTTTGGGAAATCCCTGAAAGCTGATTTTTTTTTAAAGAACAAGAATATCACACTCCCAAAATCTTAAAAACCGAACAGTATGCCCAAGCGATGCTCATGCCAAGCAGTTCCAGTGTAGTGATAGATTTTTACCCTGTCAACTGGTACAAAAACTGACACCTTTATACAAGGCATCATGTTTGTAATAACCACAACACAAGCAGTCAAAATGCAAACAAAAATAAACAACTCTGATAATGATATGCACTGTCCTTGAAGTTGATTGGTCCACACCCGAGACAGCTTTCTTAGAGCCTAGTCTCCATTGGTGTTGGAACAGATGACTCCAAAAGGCGTACAACTAAAAAACAGCACACTATCAGAGTATTGAGAGCTCGGGGTAAGAATTTACACTATGAGACCTCCTTTACCAGTGGCAAAATATAGTGATAGGTTTTTACCCTTTCAACTGGTACAAAAACTGACACCTTTATACAAGGTATCATGTTTGCAATAACCACAACACAAGCAGTCAAAATGCAAACAAAAATAAACTCTGATAATGATATGCACTGTCCTTGAAGTTGATTGGTCCACACCCGAGACAGCTTTTCTTAGAGCCTAGTCTCACATGGTGTTGGACCAGATGACATCAGTGTAGTACTGTACTATACAAAAACTATTGTAACGTTGGATTGTGCCTTTCAGAATTCGTTAGCGATTTTCAGCGATTTCAGCCCGACATCCAATCCCCACCGTCCCATGTCTCAAATCGAGGCGTCCATTTTGGTCACACGTGTCTCGTCTCATCTTCTTGGTTCTTTCGGTAACGTCACGTAGAAGGGAAGTAATAAAATAATAAAAATAAAACATAATAAAATAATTCTCACGGCGTTTCGGCCACAATGCAAGCAGCCGTCTTCAGGTGACTTTACCGAAAGAACCAAGAAGATGAATCCCTGCAGTCACGAAAGCTTTAAATCGGAAGTGTCTCGTCTCCTCTGTCAGAAAAGGACCCCGCCAACCAATGGCGCAGGACCGGGAAAAGCAGCATTGTCCCAAACAAGAACGTTACTAAAGACCCCGACGAAGGAACAGCATGGTTTCTTTCTGCCCTGACGACAGTTGGGAGCGGGCTCTCAAACCATGTCCCAACAACAACAAGGAAGTTGAGAATTGTTTTTTTACCCTTCTATCTGGCAACAAAACTGACACCTTTTTTTTGTTTGCATTATGACTGCAGGTATTGCGGTCTATGCAAACATGACTCCTTGTAAAAAGGTGTCAGTTTTGTTGCCAGATAGAAGGGTAAAAAAACAATTATATTTTTACTGGCAAATGAGGTTCCAATGGTGTAAATGCTTACCCCGAGCTCTCATACTCTGATGGTGCATTGCCTTTGAGTTGTGCGCCTTTTGGCGTCATCTGGTCTAACCCATGTGAGACTAGGCTCTAAGGAAAGCTGTCTCGGGTGTGGACCAATCAACTTCAAGGACAGTGCACATTATCAGAGTTATGTTTTTTTTACATTATGACTGCAGGTATTGTGGTCTATGCAAACATGACTCCTTGTAAACAGGTGTCAGTTTTGTTGCTAGATAGAAGGGTAAAAAACCAATTATCATATTTTCACTGCCAAATGAGGTTCCAATGGTGGAACAAGGAAGTTGTGGACAGTTCCTCAATACAAGCGGTAAGGCTCACACCATCAGGCATATCACGGATGACTGCCCAATACAACCACGTGTAACTTGGTGGAACAAGCAGACTCGGCTATCGCCCCGGATGCGGGAGAATGACTTACAAAATGAAACATACACATCTAGCCTGTTGCTTGTCTTTTTTTTAACACGCCGTTCGAAAGAAGTGGTGGATTCAGTGGTGTTATTTTTTTCCCTTTCTGCTAATTCGTTTAAATCACAGTATCGTTATATAAAATAAATATAAAATACGCTTCAAGCTGTAAATGGACATTATGGAATGGAAATTAATTGAGGTTTTGTACAGTCGCTATGTCCGTTGTGCAGTTATTTCGAGGAAACACTGAATTATTCTGAGGGCACATGAAATGATCTGGTAATGTTGAGGGCACACTCTGCTCGGAATTGCCCTCGCATTTCCAGAAAGAGATGGACTCGTCATAATTGTTTTTGGGACACAGCATTTGAGGGTAGGTTTCCTGACAAGATGCACCAAACGTCTGGGTGAACTGAACCTCCAGCATGCTTCGCTCTGAGCTCTACACTGCCTGTGTTGACAGAGTTGGAACGCTTCATCAATTTGTTTTTATTGATCAGTCGAAGAAGAATATTTGTAATGGACTACTTTTTTGTGGCCAATTATTTAAGGCCCTTTTAAAAAAATGGTGCCTCACCCCTTCCACATCCTGCCTCCCACTGGTTGTTTACAAGTTGTATTATGATTGTTCCATTATAATACACGTCTATCGAGTATCCAATCAAAACTCCCGGTGTCAGAGGACAGCCCTTAAAAGGAGATATCACGCAACAACTTCTGATATACCTTCAAGTGACGGATTTTATCCTCAACAGAGGACTCAATGCCCTGTTGCACAGAATGTTTTTTGTAAGCTGGCAGACAAAGCAATGTTTTAATTTCTCAAGAGATAGCAAAAATATTCAAATCGAGTATAAAATTAATCATCCTTTTTTGAGCGAACATTATAGATTGGGGCTAAGACCATCCACTCACGATGGACTTGAGAAGCTGGTTCAGTCATGGATGATTAAACCTGTTTCTGAACCAGGATGAGAGCTCATGTTCATTCACTAACTGCGGAGACTCGCCCGGTCACCCCTAACCTTTTACTTTTTCGCTACAAATCATTGTTTTGTCACATGGCATTAATAGCAACGACCTTACGGCTATCGTTGATGAACCCGATATGCCTTTGTTTTCTCGAGAGAAAGATTAAAAACTGGTTGGGTAAGTAGCGATACGGAAGGAACACGTTCACAGCCTGTGCCTTAAGCTATGAAAACATTCTTGTGCCACACCTTTCCCAACAACTTATTAATGACGAAAATAAGAACCCCTCAGATGTATTTTTAATTCAATAAATATCCTGTGTGCACCAACAGCCCAAACCTGTAATTATAACCACAAGCTAGCATTCATTTTTATATTTACCAGGCTAACTATACACATGGGGATAGGATACCTCCGATTAGCACGGTTGGCTACGTACAGTGCAAAAGAAGTTCAACATACATGTGTACACACACTGCATCAAGGCAACTTGTACGTAAATACAAAGTACAAAGAGTAGAAAAGTGTGCAGTGAAGCAGATGTACGCTTCGAATGATACTGACAATACTGAAAGCGGACCATATGGAACAGAGATCGAACGCAACTTCAGAGACAACTTGGAGAGCTCATGCTTGTCCCCACAACACATTTTGTCTCGACGGTCGAGACTAAGAACGGAGTAGCAGCCAAAGGAGTTGGAGGGAGGTAGGGGGGATGGAGACAAGCGTGAGTTGACGGTGAACGTGGAGACGGTGCTAAGAGAGGTTCTCGCCCATGTGACATCTCGGGCATGTAACGTGAGCGGATAGCCGTGGGAGGCCTATCAGGAAGGGGGAGAGCCAGAGGTCGCAACCGGGTACCCGATACCCGGCTACCCGTACCCGACCCGTTTGCGACCCTGGTGCGGCCGGGTACGGGTACGGGTAGACCGTGAGTCACTGGTGAGTAACTGTTTGTCACTCATTTCCCACCGTCTTGTCTTTTCTCACGATTCAAGTTCCTAGAATCAACCCACCCGCGCCTGCAACATGGCTTCATCCCAGAGGTCGCAACCGGGTACCCGATACCCGTACCCTACCCGTACCCTACGGCCGGGTACGGGTAGGGTACGGGTACCCGTTTGCAACCCTGGTGCGGCCGGGTACGGGTAAGCAATCAAAACCCGTTTGCGACCTCTGGGGAGAGCTTATGCACTTTCACATCACCTAGGCTGAATCGTTTCCGTGGAGCTGCTTTGTGCGTTTAGTTCGTAGGTCCTTCCCCCGCACCTCCGATTAGCGACGGTTGGCTACGTGCGGTGCGAAAGAAGTTCGACGTACATACAGACAATGGCCCACGGTGATGATTTCAGGTAAAGCGTGTGGGGAGAAGAGGGGGAGGTTGGGGTGGTGGTTATTGTAGCAGAAGCTCACCCGATTCCTCTGCCACTCGTCCATTCTGCAGAGCACCGACCTCCAAGCTCAGCGACGCCTGTTTACGCTTCCGAAATCTGCACGCAAAACCATTCGCAACAAAACGACACAGATTACGACCTCCCTGCCACCCCCCCACTTCCTCGTGTATCCCTGAACAGACTGCTGGGAACAAGTGCTGTTAGCGAGCAGCACCTATGCAGGCGACCCCCATTGGCGATGGGTTTGTTTACGTGCCGCACCGGGTACTCGTTTGAGGCTGAGCCGACCTAGGGGAGGCCCGGGACCGTTGTTGAGTGGCCGCGATCGGGAATCGAACTCGGGTGGCCGCGGTTAGGAGCGCTTAAACGCGAGACACACGGGGAACACACACACACGCGCAGACGACACACACATAGATGACACACACACACAGATGACACACACACAGACGACACACACACAGACGACACACACACATAGATGACACACACACAGACGACACACACACAGACGACACACACACATAGATGACACACACACAGACGACACACACACACAGATGACACACACATAGATGACACACACACACAGATGACACACACACAGACGACACACACACAGATGACACACACACAGACGACACACACACAGACGACACACAAACAGACGACACACACACAGATGACACACACACACAGATGACACACACAGATGACACACACACACAGACGAAACACACACACAGACGAAACACACACACAGACGACACACACACAGATGACACACACACGCAGACGACACACACACACACAGATAACACACACATAGATGACACACACACACAGATGACACACACATATGGCACACACACAGATGACACACACATAGATGACACACACACACACACAAACGACACACACACATAGATGACACACACACACAGACGACACACACACACAGACGACACACACACACATAGATGACACACACACACAGACGACACACACACACATAGATGACACACACACATAGATGACACACACACACAGATGACACACACACAGACGACACACACACAGACGACAACACACACACAGATCACACACAGACGACACACACACAGACGACACACACAGAGACGACAACACACACACAGACAACACACACACAGATGACACACACACACACACAGAGATGACACACACAACACACACACAGACAACACACACACAGAGACGACACACACACAGACGACACACACACAGACGACACACACAGAGACGACAACACACACACAGACAACACACACACAGACAACACACACACAGACAAAACACATACACAGATGACACACACACACACAGACGACAACACACACACACAGAGACGACACACACACAGACGACAACACACACACAGACAACACACACACACAGACAACACACACAGAGACGACAACACACACACACAGACAACACACACACAGACAACACACACACAGACAACACACACACACACAGATGACACACACACAGATTACACACACAGACGACAACACACACACAGAGACGACACACACACAGACGACAACACACACAGACAACACACACACAGACAACACACAGACAACACACACACAGATGACACACACACAGATGACACACACACAGATGACACACACACAGACGACACACAGACGACACACACACAGACGACAACACACACAGACGACAACACACACAGACAACACACACATACAGACGACACACACACACAGACGACACACACACACAGATGACACACACACAGACAACACACACACAGATGACACACACACAGACAACACACACAGACAACATACACACAGATGACAACACACATACAGACGACACACACACACAGACGACAACACACACACAGATGACACACACACAGACAACACACACAGAGACGACAACACACACACAGACAACACACAGAGACAACACACAGATGACACACACACACAGACGACAACACACACACACACAGAGACGACACACACAGACAACACACACAGACAACACACACACACACAGAGACGACACACACAGACAACACACACACACAGAGACGACACACACAGACGACAACACACATACAGACGACACACACACAGATGACACACACAGAGACGACAACACACACACAGAGACGACACACACACAGACAACACACACACAGACAACACACACACAGAGACGACAACACACACAGAGAGACGACACACACACAGACAACACACACACAGACAACACACACAGATGACACACACAGACGACAACACACACACAGAGACGACACACACACAGACAACACACACACAGACGACAACACACACACAGACAACACACACAGACAACACACACAGAGAACACACACAGACAACACACACAGACAACACACACACACAGATGACACACACAGATGACACACACAGACGACAACACACACACAGAGACGACACACACAGACAACACACACACAGACAACACACACACAGACAACACACACACACACAGACAACACACACACACAGATGACACACACACAGATTACACACACAGACGACAACACACACACAGAGACGACACACACACAGACGACAACACACACAGACAACACACACACAGACAACACACAGACAACACACACACAGATGACACACACACAGATGACACACACACAGACGACACACAGACGAACACACACAGACGACAACACACACACAGGACAACACACACACACACACAGATGACACACACACACAGATGACAACACACATACAGACGACACACACACACAGACAACACACACACAGATGACACACACACAGACAACACACACACAGACAACACACAGAGACAACACACACACAGATGACTCACACAGAGATGACACACACACACAGACGACAACACACACACACAGAGACGACACACACACAGATGACACACACACAGACAACACCACACAGACAACACACAGAGACAACACACACACACAGATGACACACACACAGATGACACACACACACAGACGACAACACACACACAGAGACAACACACACACAGATGACACACACACAGACAACACACACACAGACAACACACAGAGACAACACACACACAGATGACACACACACACAGACGACAACACACACACACAGAGACAACACACACACAGATGACACACACACAGACAACACACACACAGACAACACACAGAGACAACACACACACAGATGACACACACACAGATGACACACACACACAGACGACAACACACACACACAGAGACGACACACACAGACAACACACACACACAGAGACGACACACACAGACGACAACACACATACAGACGACACACACACACACACACAGATGACACACACACAGATGACAACACACATACAGATGACACACACACACAGAGACGACAACACACATACAGATGACACACACACACAGACGACACACACACACACAGACGACACACACACACATAGATGACGACACACACACAGACGACACACACACAGATGACACACACACAGATGACACACACACACAGATGACACACACACAGACGACACACACACACACACAGACGACACACACACACAGATGACACACACATACAGATGACACACACATACAGATGACACACACACATACAGATGACACACACACACACAGACGACACACACACAGATGACACACACACAGACGACACACACACAGATGACACACACACAGACGACACACACAGACGACACACACACACAGATGACACACACACACAGATGACACACACACAGAGACGACACACACACACAGACGACACACACACAGATGACAACACACACACAGATGACACACACACACAGACGACACACACACAGACGACACACAGATGACACACACACAGATGACACACACACAGATGACAACACACACACACAGACGACACACAGATGACACACACACAGATGACACACACACAGATGACAACACACACACACAGACTACATACACACACAGACGACACACACACAGACAACACACACAGAGACGACAACATCCGTGCACAGAAACAACGGAGTTTGAAGACGGCTCCGACGCAAACGAGACACCGTTTCACTTCACCTGTTGCCACAGCATCCCGAGAACATTTCTGAGCGATGAAGAGCAGGAGGAGGTGGAGGTGGTGGAGGAGGTGGTGGTGGGATGAACAAAAATAAATAAACCCCTCGACAAAAGCGGTGCCGAAACACAAAAGTGTCCGATGCTTGGCGGACAATAAATTATCCTCGTCCGGAGCCAGACGGCAGAACGTTGTCCGTGTCCATCGATCTGTGTGAGCGCTTCCCACCCACACACCTCCTTGCGCCCTTCCCAGCAGCAGCAGCAGCAGCGAGTGAGCCGCCTGTCCCCGCTGTCTCTTCCGAGCCAAATCCTTCTCGTCCGCGTTCGGATTTAGCGGACGAACAACGTCAACAACAAAAATCCCCTCTCGCCACGAGGTTCCGAGTCAGTGCAGCAAGTCGGCAGTGGTCGATTGCGCAGTCGTCGTCGTGCGCGGAGTCCGTGGGAGTCGCCGCTGCCAGCAGCCAGGCGCGCGTTGAGCCGAACGCGACATCAGTGGAAGGGGGTGGGTGGATGGATGGTGGTGGAGGGGGTGGGTGGATAGGTGGTGGTGGTGGAGGGGGTGGATTGGTGAGTGGTAGTGGAGGGGGTGGGTGGGTAGGGGGTGGGTATGTGGTGGTAGTGGAGGGGGTGGGTGGATGGGTGGTGGTGGTGTAGGGGGTGGCTGGTGGAGGGGGTGGGTGGTGGAGGGGGGTGGGTGGTAGTGTAGGGGGTGGGTGGTGGTGGAGGGTGGTGGGTAGGTGGTGGATGGTTGTGGGTGGGGGTAGTGGAGGGGTGGGTGGATGGGTGGTGGTAGTGGAGGGGGTGGGTGGATGTGAGGGTGGTGGAGGATGGTGGTGGAGGATGGTGGTGGATGGGTGGAGGATGGTGGTGGGTAGGCGGTGGAGGGTGGTGGGTAGGTGATGGG